CAGAGAACAGTAACATTTTAAAAATGTGAGCAAGATAGGAACAAGTCATAATATGACCTTTATAAATATGTTTTACCACTATTTTAATTTACCAATGAAAATGAACATACATTTTAGTTGTATTTTTGTGATTTGTATGTAAACTGTATATCTTGTTAAGTAATAAACATGATTATGACAGTATAACCTGACAGATGTGGTAATTTACATATGTTATGATGAGGAGGTTACCTCAGCCAGTGAAGTAGGGAAATCAAGGATATGATTTGCCCATGGGAGCTATTGCATAGCTATAATTTTGTTCTACTAAAAAAGAGTTTTCCTCAGTTAGATTTATTTGAGATACACTAAGAAGAGGTAATATTCCTTAGTGAGGTTTAATGATTTTTTTGTTACACTAAGAGAGGATGTTCCTTAGTTAGAGTCATTTGTTCTTACTAAACTAAGAAGGTTTACCTAAGTTACAATTTTTCTTAATGGCGATACTTATAAGATAAGTGACGCTTTACACTTTGCCATGTATTTTATGAATATCATTGTTTTAATTTTAAAATGTACATATGAAATAATTTAGGATGTTCATTAGCAAGTTTCTTTTTCAACATGATTTTCATTTCACTGTTACATGTATAATGAAAAATTTATAGTGAATGTGATCTATATAACAAAAAAAATTAATAAATTAATTTTTTTAAACGGGAGAAAGGGCGTATAACAGTGAAATGCTGGTAGATTGTATCTTGGGAGTGTGTGGGTATTGCATCAGGGAGACAGTGGCTGTGCGCATGCGCGAAAGGAACAAGAGAGGACAGGCGAGAAAATGACTAGGTCGGTGTGAACACGCTGCCTGTGTGAAAACGAAATAAATATGAAAACTTCCATTATGAAGGCTTGTCTTTTTGATTTTGTATGCGTAATATAAAAGGTAGGAGAAAGGCCTGTGACAAGTTTATATCGTGAACCCAGTCACACAAAAGGCTTGTGACATATATATATATATATATATATATATATATATATATATACATAAATTTTTTGGGGTGACACCCGACCTCGCTACGCCACTGGCTTCACCAAACACCCACCCATAACAAGTCTCACAAAATTATATGATTGCACTTACCAAAACAGTAAAATTTAAATTAAGTAACAGTCGTATGATATTGCGTAGATAAAACGAAAACATGACTGATAATCTTAACAAACAATGGCGAATCTGTAATATTTATACACTGAAAGAATTTGTGATATTTTCCATATAAGCCCATCAAAAAGTTAACCCCCGTCATCCAAAAAAAAAAGCTTATAAAATAAAACATGTACAAAAAAGCCTTTATAGTAAAAAGCTTTCAAATGCGCTGAACATAAGAAAATTAAATAAATTTGCTTTCTTTCATTCAAGTTTTCTCGCTAAACTATGAAAAAGATCTCACGAGCGACCAAAGCTTTTAGTTAAGAAAGTAAATTTGTTTTATTTTCTTATTGTCAGTGCATTTAAAATCTTAATATTATTAATTAAGGTAGTTTTTTTTATACTTGTTTTCTACTTTTTAGTGATTCATACTTTATGAAGTCGACATCACTAAAAATATTTGCTTTAAAACACCATCAGTAGCTCGCGATACCTAAAAGACGATTATTTTATATTGAGCAACCGTCCGTGACCTTATTTTACACATGACAGAAATGTCTTACTTTTTCTTAACTCCCCTAAGTTAAAAAAAAAAAAAACTTTATTTATCAACCGGCTATACGGTCAGGTGATAGCTTATAGGGCTGGTAAGTAGGTCACCAAAAAGTTCTATAGCTCATGCAGGTTTTATTGAGCCGTAGAACTGGTTGGTAACTTACTTACCAGCCCTATAGCGAACAAAAAAAAAAAAAGCTTGTAATAACATCGACAGTTGCGGTCCCACAGGGACAAGACATCCTACTAATTTCAGAAAATCTTAATTAATTCATAAAAAATTAATCAGTCATTCAGTCATCCAATTAAATCAAATTTAATGTCTTATTGCATTGTCATCGAATCTTTAGGGAAATCGATCAGTTAGAAGTGCCCGAAATTTCGCTCTACCGTTTCGATCTAGACAGACAGAGGAAGCAAGTTATATAAAAGCTTGTAAAAAAAGTATAAGAAACTTGTACTTTTAGTTCTTAACGCCACAACCCTAAGCCTTAAATCTAACCATATTCCTAAACCTAACCATAGAAGCAGATAAGGAGTTGTTTTTATGGGGTGCATCTAAAATTTAAAATGTGTAGAAATACGAGGTTGCGTGCGTGCATTTAAATTGGAGCTGGGCATTTTTATATTCTTAAATAGAGCATGTATGACAAATTTAAAGTGTATTAGTATAATAAGTTTGTATTTGCGAATGTTCTGTTCACGCATTTTTCCGTTTGCAAATGTTTCTGTGAACACTCCGGCCGAATGGAACGTTACCGACCAACCACTATATCGATACTACACAGTAGACGTGGGAAAGTGTGACCTCTGACTCCGAAAGGCGCACACTGACCTATTAAAAGTACAGAACAAGTAACATTTATAGACGATGATACAAATACATAGTAGCTTCCTTGAATGTAATATAGTGTAAACCCGAAGAGGGGTTTGGAAGCAGACATGGTTTAATGAAATAGCAATATAGACATCAAGGGTTTTATCAATGCCAAAGGTAGACATTTAGGTACGTATTAACGTCACAGAAAAGGCAGTCTACAAAATGACACGATTCGAGCCCACACGAAACGACACCGATTCGCTTCGTTATTAAAAAAATTAGTTCAGATCCTAAAACAAACATTTAAGCAGTGGCGTAGCTCAGAGGCGTAGCGACCCGTCCCGGCGCCCGGGGACAAACTTTCGATTTGCACCCTCCCCCTCGAGATTTCGATTTGCATCCCCCTCAAACTTTCGATTTGCACCCCCACTCAAACTTTTCATTTGCACCCCCCTCAACCTTTCAATTTATTTTTCCAACCCATTTTGGCGCCCCCTAAGGTCGGCGCCCGGGGACATATGTCCCCCCCCCTCGCTACGCTACTGGCGTAGCTACCGTAAAGCTAGCGTAAGCAAGGCATAGGGGCCTATGGCAAATAGGGGTGCTTTTCCCTCTTTCAATTTTTAAAAAACTTTTAGATCTACATTGGAATTTTAATATTTGTTTTATAAAAATAATTTTAAAAAGAAAATGGAAGTCCAGTTTCTTTTTCACGGTAGAAGTAATAAAAAATCCAAAAAAGGCTCCCAAACTTTCTTACTGGGGAAGGAGGGTTGTAAAAGACCCATCGATATTAATAACACTAAAGACATGGTTGCATTGTCGGGCAAGCCGTTTGAGAGAATTACCTTAAAATAAACTTGAACATTGACTCTGTTGGGCAAGTCGTTGAGAGCAGTGGCGTAGCGAGGTCTGGTATCACCAAGTGCGGCACTTAATGGTGTTACCCACCAGAGGCGTAGCGACCCTTCCCGGGGACAAATTTTCGATTTGACCCCCCCCCCCCCCAAACTTTCGATTTGCACCTCTTAAAAGACTATTTAACACTCGAATTAATCACTTAATTAAGTGGAATTATAATTTTTTCTCAATATATTTTGCTATTTTTTGCTTTGGTGTCACCCCCCCCCCTAATTGGTGTCACCCGGTGCGGTCCGCCCCCACCCCCCTCCCTCGCTACGCCTCTGGTTGAGAGAATGAGCCTATAAATAATTTTTTGTTTATTTCGTTCGGAGAGCGGCCACTTTACAGTAAGGCGGTTCGGTTTGCCACCCAGAGTTTCCCACCGGCTTTCTTAGCACCTAAGGGTCAAACTGCACAGATGCATCAGTCGGCGCCCGCCCCCTTCCCCCCCCCCCCCCCCCCGCCCCCCCGTGAGCACTACGGCTAAAATGGACTTCAATGAACGTATTAATCACTTTGCAAACTTATAAGAAAGGAAGAAAATAAATTTAAATAAATCATGAGCAACTTAAAAAAAATTGTATTAGGTTAGTGGCGTCACAAGGTTCAATATCACCCGGTGCGTTTAGTGAGTGTTACCCCCAACCCGTCTAACAATTTTGCATTTCAGGTGGAGTGTTACCCCCTCTCCTCCACTTTTTAAAATTATTTTAACTGAGTAGAACATAGTTTGGACAGTAAATTTAACGAGTTTTCGTCATGGGGTCACGTCTAAATTATGAGGCCCCCGCCTCGTGAAGCTACCGTGTTAGGTTACTTAAATGTTACAGGCTTACAGATAATTTGTTTTTTTCATACAAGTGATTTAAAATCAAAGGTATTTACGCTACGGGGTACTACATAATAATACCGTATAAATACACAATTATGGACGTATAAAATACACAATTTACAGATTAACGTGGGGGCCAGATAATAGTTTTTGCATAGGGGCTCGAAAATCCTAACTACGCCACTGCAGTTAAGTGTGACAGTTACTTTTTTTCTATTCTAAGTAATGTATTGTAGGTGGTCATATCATGCTGATAACATAACCTGCTTCCAACCTGTTTATGTTTGCCTCTGTCAGCGCTTCCCGCCGTGTGCCTCCACGTCCTCCTTAGCCAACCCTTTAGCGCCATTCCTGCGATATCATCTGGATTCATTTTTCAGACGTGTCCTATCCAGCGCCATCCTCTTTTTCCCCCGATTATTTCTGAAACTGCTTTCATTTCTCTCTCCTAGTAGTCTATCATTGGAGATGGTGTTGGTTAGTGAATACATTTTATCCTTCGCAAGCATTTAGTTAGGAGAGTCCACTAACCTTCTGGTGGCGGTTGTTGCTTTCCAGCATTTGCTACCATAAAGTAGGACGCTGAGGATATTACTTTTGAAAAGTCTGCATTTGGTCTTGGAGGTGATTTTCTTCGATCACCATGATTTTGCATAGTTAATACGAACTTTAACATGCATAGTTAAGCTATTCAAAACATCAGTTATGATCCTGAAACAAACTGTTTAGTTTGACATTTACTTTTTTTTCTGTTCTAGGTCTGGACTGGTGGAAATCGTAGATGGTCATATCATGCTGATATGATAAAGCAGTATGCTGAGTGTATATCAAATAATTTACAGTCGTATGGGATTAATAATGTAGAAATACACTTTGATATTTGGTTGTCTTTAAATTCTCGTTTTCAGCAAAGGTAAATAAAAGCAGATTTTTGTATGTATAAGGGTATAATATAAGGGTATAATATAGACATGTATACATTTTTTTCTTAACACATGAAACAAAAATCACTTAACACAAAAAGATTCTTTATAAATACTTCACTTAACCTACTTAGCTTTAAGTGAGAATCTTGTTTGATTAGGCATAACTGTAATCAGAACTCATGAACTGAAAATTGATTAAGAATCTCAGCATGATTACACATTTATTTTTAAAGTTTAAACCATAGTACTTCAATAAATAGGCACAGCACTTTATATTGAACTTACCAGATGCTAAAAATATCATTAAAGCGTGTTTGAATAATGGAAAAGACAATACCAAACAATTTTTGAAAATTTAAAGCTCAAAAGACATTGGAAATAAATATATAATTTTCCAAAGATTATGGTTAATTTTTAATTTTTGTCACACATTAAAAAAAAAGCGTGTACCTTCTTATCCCGTTTGCCACAAAATAACATCACGCATTCCAAGTTGCATTTTTTAAAAATATTGATCTACATTATACTAATTGGACTGTAGGCTACTAAGTGGATGAAATTTATAAGTATTACATTGTATGATCATGTTTCTTCAAATGTTGTAAGATTTCCGGTAACCGGAAGAGTTAGGAAGACGCAATTTTCGAGTGACCTCTGATAATTGGAAGTGGTACTTTATTCTATTTCTTGTTTCTTAAATACCGATAATTTGAGTACCGTATCAGTTAGGTAGACCAAATTCTATACATAGGTATAAGATCTTCTTTTCTTAATTTAATCCAATTTTTATTAAATTCCGGTGACCGGAAGTAGTATTTTACGCTATTTCCAATTTCTCAAGAAAGGCGAGCAAAGTATTAATTTTCCGCTCTGTCATACACACAGTGTTTGCTTTCATTTTGGTACGCAATTCTTTTTTCCCTCTCTGTTCTATGCTAGTTTTACAATGTAAGTATTTTTTTAAAACTTAATTAAAAAACATTTCTAAAGCCCGGTTGGACTGGCCGTCGCCGTTACCGTTAAAATGATTTTTAGAAATTGTAAAGAAAATAAAACATTTCTAAAGCCCGGTTGGACTGGCCGTCGCCGTTACCGTTAAAATGATTTTTAGAAATTGTAAAGATAAAGTTTATCAAAATGTTTTTCATTTTTAGGATGGTGAACCCACATGTTGACATTTTGACAGCAGACTGGAGCCCATTTCAAACTCCATCATGGATTATGCCACTGTTGGCTGATTTGTCTGATTGGAGAGTAAGACTAGAGCTAATAGAGAAGTCTCTGCAAAAAGATAATGAAAATGCTGTTGATGTTGTATTTGTCGCTGATTTTCCAGGTTCTATTTAAATGATCATTTATATTCTTTTAACACAAATATAATGTTCTTTATTATTTTTTACTATTAAAAAGCTCTCTAAAAATTATTTACCTCATAAATGTCATTTACAAGAATGTTGTAGTTTGAGCAATATAAATATATTTATTTAAACGTATCAATCCAGCCATTTACTTGACCAATTTTCTTGGTTTTAAATGTTTTAAGATAAAATAACTGGATTGAGGCAGCTTCAAACTATTTCAGCTTTATTCGATTTAAATTGAGAAATTGTCTCTTTTTTGCACCTTCTGGTTTGTTTTTCTTTTAGCCTTGGTTGTTAAAATTTGATCCTTCTTTGGGAGATTGGTGCTATTGTTTAAAAATTACTATTTCTCTGCGTTGCATCACCAGGCAACTTTTTGCCTCGCTTACTTCCATTTTCCCTGGAAAGTAAGATGCTTAACTGATTATTTTTGGCTACATAATTAAGTATCAACAAGTGAATACAGTAAAATGTTATGATCTGACTTAAAGTCAGAACATGATGGTCTATTTTGGACAGGTGCAGTAGAGTACACCTGTTTCAGTAACATGAGCATATGAAGGTTAGTGTGTCAGCACTATGCCCTGCCGCCTTTACTTTTTCTAACGCGAGTCTGGTGTCCATCCTCGCCGCTCCATTCTCGGATTGCGTATAATTTAATTTAATTTTTTAAATTACAAAGTGATGATACATTAGGCTACTTCTTCTGTTCAATAATTTTAATGATTGAGCTATTTATTACAGATATGTATTTAGAGAATTATGTGCAACAAGATTTTGAAAATACCACTCTAACTGTCCTAGATGGCAATGTCCTCATAGAATTTCCTGATCTTAAAAAAAACATCACCCTAAAACGTGATGAGTCCTTGCAGGTCTGTATTCTAATAAATTGTACATTAAATTTTAAAACCTACGTCGATAGAGTTTTAGATATTTAAAAAAAAACAACTCCCGCTACATTGAAAAAACATTCTGTCGTATAAAAATTGGTTATATTTTTTTGTGTATATGTGTGTGTATGGCAGGGTATTGCAACACCAAAAATTATATAGGGCCTATAGATCTATATGTGTTGTGGACTACTGAATGTTATGTAACGTTAAATCTAGTTGGCTAAAACTGGAACGTGACATTACTCCACTCTCCATAAATTACCCCCATTATTCTTCAGCATCCTAACTAACAGATCTTATACCCCCTTCTAATTACTCCACCTCCCAGGATCTCACGGTAGTAGGAAATTACCACCAGACAATTACCCATCAGTTAGGGTAAGGTTAAGGATAACCATTACGATTTTGGTTAGGATTGGGAGATGGATATGGAGAAAGACTGAGATAGGTATTGGTATAATCAGTAGCGTACGCAGGGGGGGGGGGGGGAGCAGGGGGAGCGGCCGCTCCCCCTCTGGCCATTTTTAGCAAAGTGGCGCCTTTTTGGAAACTTTTTAAACTCAAAGTTTTTAACATTGATATTTGTTAAAAAATTATCTTTGGTCGGCACATTTGAAACGTAAATCTCTGTGAATATTGTTTTTTTCAATTACCAGTAAAAGGTGTGTGAGCAATACAGTGATCTAACCCATATCTTCTCATTATGTTAAAAAATTATCTTTAAAAAACACAAATTGTCAGTAGCAATTTAAAAAATTTCATAATTTGAAATGTAAGACCGATATTATTGTTATGTATAGGCTATTATTCCGAACGTTTAACGTGAAGAGTGAAAAGCTGGCTTTTATAACAACTCTGATTTAAAAAACTTTCATTATGCTGTAATACTTTAGCATTTATAATGACAATATATTTAATTCTGATTTTAGACAAATAATTTTTGCAAAAACGAATAGTGTTAAGCTACTTTATTAGATTCTAAAGTAATTATTAATTTGTTTTGATATTTATAATAAAATTGTAGACATATACATATTTATATTAAGATATTGATTATTTCCCCTTTTCTCTAGTCTTAGATGTCCCAGGAATAATTATGTAATTTTTTTACAAAAATACGAAACAGATTATGCCGCGTTCATTGTTTTTTGGTTGCAGTGTTTATATATATATATATATATATATATATATATATATATATATATATATATATATATATATATATATATATATATATATATTTATATATATATATATATATATATATTTATATATATATATATATATATATAATATATATATATATATATATATATATATATATATATATATATATTTTTTTTAAGAGTGATACCATATTTTTTTTTTTCGTCGGCCTACATTGTGTGTTTTTTTCTTCAGAGTGCTTATTTAAATTTATTTTACATCATATCGAAGCAATAACATACAGCTAATATATATATATATATATATATATATATATATATATATATATATATATATATATATATATATATATATATATATATATATATATATATATATATATATATACTTATATAGAAAATATTACATATTCGGCGCCTTTTTTTTGCTATTTCCGCTCCCCCTACAACGAAAACCTGGATACGCCTCTGGGTATAATATGTATAATTCATGTAAACAATGCCTGCGCTTGGATCATGTTTATCTGGGCGCGGGTTTATCTACACCACCGCCCAGCTTGCCCCATGGCTTTCCGTATGAAAGTATTGACTGTACGTTAATCGCTCACCGTAATAGTGAGGTAGATTACACAGGATAGATTAATAACAATGGTTTAGTATTATGATAAGTTAATTGATTTTCTTTTTAATAGTTATTTAGGGTTTGTATTATTGTTATTGTAAAATAAGTAGTAAATTATGGATAATGGATTGGATAGGCTATATGACGCACCTGATTTAATTTACTTAACGACTATAATACCTCAATATTATCCATAGTCTATCGCACTGTTTAAAACAAACGTAGGCGCCATAGCGCTCAAGGCAGAGTTTCTTCCAGGCATCTCGAAGCCCCCCCGAAAATTTTTTACCGCCCCCCCCCCCCGAACGAAATGAAATTTATATAATTTATATAGAAAATATATACTTTTAACAGTGTCCGCCCCCCCGAAGAAAGTCTACCGCCCCCCCCGAAAATTTCAAGTGCCCCCCCGGAGAAAAAAGTCTGGAAGAAACACTGGCTCAAGGTACAGCCCTTGGCGCCATATCGCACCCTGCCGGGTTTGCCCACACTACCGCCCAGTACGCCACCAGTGCGTTTTGTATGAAAACCTTAAGTGTGCGTTAATCACTCTCCGTAATAGTGAGGTAGTTTTTAGTCATGCTACTATAATGCATTAAAAATTTTGATTTTAAAAAATTCATAAAAACGATTCATATTATGCATTTTAAATAAACTATTTTCGTTAAATATAACAACAAACTACTATTTAGATAACTAAAACTAAAATCGTAGCTTGCTTCTTAAATTCTAGTAAAATAATTTTTTTTTTTTTTTTTTTTTTTTTTTTTTTTTAAATACTTTTATTTGCAATTAAAACAAGTACATCAACATCAAATTTTTTAACATAATTTTGAACACCAAATGAAAATTTTTTTTTTTTTTTTTTTTTTTTTTTTTTATAGTTAAAAAATAATTTTATCTAATATATAAATTTGTGGCGTATAGCGGACGGAGCCGTGGCACACATGCTTATAGTAAAAAACTTGACTTGATCGCCATAATGTAATATTCTTTAAGCGTTTATTATCTAAAATAATGTTTTAAGAAAATTAATATTAATTGTTTTGTCAAAAAAAATTCATTTCCCAAACTTATAATTTTAATTCACATCATGTGGAATAAACAAAATAAAAAAAAAAGTATCGTTCTTCACACAAATTTTAAAAGTACAAATTACTTCTCTTTCATTTGTTTCTTTAGTGCCAATTACTTCCCTTAATACACTACAAAAAATACTTCCCTTTAAAAAAAAAAAACATTACATGGGGGGGGGGGGGAAATACCTTTTATTAGTTATGATGTTGGAAAAAATGATTATATTAATTAGCATGGATTGATAAAGTGTAACGTGGTAGGTAAAACACGGAAATTTTAAATGCTGCCTTTTATTTATATTTTAATCAATAGCAGTTTAGAAGACGCTCCTAAATGTCCTCTATGTTTACTACTATCTTTCCGTGTGCGAACAAGCTGGGGGTATTATATTCGTTCTCTAAATTGAATCAGGCACGTCCGCCGTTGCTATGGCAGGGTTCGATTTGGCGCCCTGGGCTGTCCTGTGAGCACTATGGTGCATACTTTCGTTTTAAAGAGTCGGATAAGCTGTGGGTAAAAAGGGTTACTATAGTTGTTCACTAAATCAAAATCAGGGCGTCCTCCGGCGCCCCGACAGGGTGCTGTTTGGCTAAGGCGCCTAAGTTTGTTTTATACAGTGCGATAGACCATTCATTGACTATGGACAAGGAGGGTTACTAAAGTCCTTCACTAAATTGAATTCAGGGCGTCCTCTAGCGCCCAAACAGAGTGCTATTTTGCGACCTGGGCCTCACTGTGAGCTCTAGTTCGTTTTAGTAACTGCAAAGCCCCGGGCCAGGCTGTGAGCACAATGTGTTTTAGGTTTGCATTTATTTTTGTGTTTATGTTCGCGTTTACTTTTGCATTATTTTGTGTTATTGTTTACGTTTAGGTTTGCCTTTGTGTATCTTTTTGTGTTTGCGTTTTTTGTGTGTTTGGGTTTGCATTTGTGGTTGGGTTTGAGTTTTCTTTTGTGTTTTTGTGTTGTTATTTTTTTGTTTTGGTTGTAGTTAGGGTTAATTCGAAAAGTAATATATTTCCTAAACCCGGTCAATGCCGTGTTTATGCTGCTTATTAAACACACAACTCATGGTCCTTTACAGTTATGTTTTTCACTGAGGCCAGTGCAGGGCCTTGCAGGAGCGGCTAGTACGTAATATAGCGACCCACGCTTTTCTGTTCAGTTATTTAAATAGTAGTTCACGAGCCGACCCGCGGCATATCATACGCCGCTATTTAGTTGTTTTTTTTTTTCTACTTTTCAGTTATTCATAATTTGTGAATTCGACACTACCAATGCTGCCACTTCTTCTTCTTCTTCGTTCTTAATTATTAGTGTTGAGGGGGATCGAGATTTATCTGCCAGTGGGTTTGAACTCGAGACTTTGTTCGAATTTATCAACCATGAGGTTTTTGCCGAATCGACCACGCCTCCAACACAATTAAGCGTTACGTGTCAACTGGTTTTGCGCCATTGAGGCCATTGACTCCGATTTCAGCCTGCTTTTCTTTTTGGATTTGCTTCCATAGCCTTTGTCCAACCAAGAACAAGGCAGCAGTTGTTTAATTTTGGAGTTGTCTCTCCTAGAAGAGTGGCTGTCCCCAGCTAACGAGCCTCATCTGCCCGAGGGTTCGAACTCGAGACTTTTCGGTATAACAACCATGAGCTTTACCGACTCGACCACACCGACCCCTAACGCTGCCACTGAAAATATTTCTTTAAAACACTATAAGTAACTTGTTAAGGACGATACCCCCCCTCCTTCCCCCCCCCCCTCCGTTAAAGTAAACTCCACTTAGTTACCCCACGCCCCCTACGTTTAAAATCGTTTTAAACTAAATTATCTGCCCCTAATAGTCGTCACTAAACCCGGCTCTTTTTGTAAACATTTAGAGTGAACCACAGCTCACCAGACCATGCAGGGGTGGGGCTGGTAGGGAGCGCGTTTACAGCTTGTTTTCTAGCGTCTCCCAGAAGAGAATTATATATATAGATTTTTATATTTATGGAAAAACATTTATTTTCTCTTTTTACTTTCTCTTAAAACGAAGTATAGAGGTAGTATTGTAATCGTTTAAAAAATCAAAATCGAGATTTTTACAAAACTCGACGTTTTTTTACACCTCCATGAGTA